GCGATCAACATCATTAAAGACAGTACAACTGCAGGGATAGATGTACAGGGGCAAAAGATTCGTATGCTTAGATTTGCAGATGATATAGCAGTATTAGCATCTAGCAAGGAGGAGTTAGAGATAGCTTTAAATAAAATGGAAGCGGTATTGACAAAATAGTATTGTATAAAATAAATAAAAGTAAAACAAAAATACTGGTATGCAAGGAAAGAAAAAGTGTAGGGAAAGAGCGAATATAAAGATAGCAAATAAGAGATTAGAAGAAGTGGCTGATTTTAGGTTTCTAGGAAGTCAGAAACAGCAGAAACAAGAGTTGAGAGGAGTAGAGGTAGACCTAGATTAGATTACCTACTGTTTGAAAATAGTTAAGGAAGTGGGATGTTCTAGTTATAAGGAAATGCGAAGTTTAGCTCAAGATAGGAAGGAGTGGAGGTGCGTGTCCAACCAGTCTTGGGACTGACGACCATATGATGATGATAATAAACGTTGTTCTTATCATAAATGTGTTTCTTTCTTCTTTTACCTGAAAGGTCCATCTTGAACCTTGCTGATCAAAAAGAGACCAGAAAATCGGCAACGGCGTGAAGAGCAATAAAACTGAATATATAATCTTCATGTCGCAAATTAACTTCTTAGAAAATTTGTCGGAAGCGTAGTCTAGCCAATGTTGCTTGGGTGGTTCGTGTCGTTTTCTAAATTTCATCAGTCTAGCATACTTATTGAATGTTAAAATTATTGCATATGAAATAATATTGATTCATAAATGTGTTTCCTTAATTTTGACTTTTTTTAATTTTGTTTTGATATCATCAGAAAAACTTACTATAGTGCATTTGATAAAGTTGACCACCATGTTTTCTCTTGGCGTTTTTACTCTGTACCACGGTTTACCACTGACGAAAAGTACTGAAAAATTGAATTTTCTGAAATCAGTTGTTTGTCCCCTGTTTTACTAATTTTAAATATATTTATTTTTGAGTGAGAACTGTTAAAATTGTTTCAAAATAAATATAAATTACATTAAAGAAAATTTTTTCAATGTTGGTCAACGTCCTCCTAATTTTTGCAATAACCTCAATGAGAATATTTTAAACTCAGTTAGTTTTTTTTTAACTTCCCATTAGGAAGTTATTGTAATTGGGTCGAAAAGTGAAATCGGAATTTTCATTATATTTCCACGTTTTAACATATTAG